GGGCAAGAGGATGCGGACTCCTCACAGAGAGGCCTCCCCACACCTTGCCACACTCACCTTCATAAATTCTGTGTGCACTGGCCATTTGTGCCAGGATTTTCTTAATTCTTAAATCCGTCTCTAAGAACTTTTTATTGAATGTCACATAAATCTAGAAAAGCACACAGTTCAATAGTGAGTGAGCTGGTGAATTTTCACAAACCAAGTACACCCATGACACCATTACCTATCGAAAGAACACACTCCCAGCTCCCCGGAAGCCGCCTCATGCCCCCTGCTAGGCCCCTCCCTTAGCCCAGTGCACCCCCAAGGCTGTCCTGATCCCTAACATCACAACTGAACGTGCATGTTTCTTCACATCAGTGGACAAGTACAGTGTGCCCGCTTGTCTCGGGACTCCCTTCGCTAAGCATGTTTGTGAGATGCATCTAATGCTGGTTGAGAATTCCATCCTGTGAAAGTCCCACGATCTGCCCACTCAACTGCTGACGGACAGCAAGTACCTTTGTGTTCAAAGGAAACTTTATGAAAATGAAGTAGATGGAAGACCAGCATCCCTTGCTATAAATGGAAAAGGCTAGCACTCCAGTTCTCTAGCTCACACTGGAACACAAAAATACAAAACTTTGTGTCCCCCCCCCGCCCCGAGGTCATTGTGAGCTCCCTCCCTCGGGGAGATGTGGGGCCGGCGCCTGCTGGTTGCTGGGTCTCTGCCTGCCCCCTCCCCGTTTCCACACACCCCCCACTGCCCGCAGGGGTGAGTGGGCCTGAGGCGGCCAGCAGCCAAGAGCCCAGCTGTGGAGTCCCATAGGCCTGGATTCAAACTCTGCTCCTCTGCTTCTTAGCTGAGTGTCGAGGGCAGGCTGCTTAGGCTCCTGGAGACTTGGTTTCTGGTCCGTGAGATGGTAAAAACGGTAGCTCCCTCCCAGATATGTGGGGGTATGAAATGGGATAGAATGGTAAGCATAAAAAGCTCAGTTCTTCACTAGCCATTCCCCAGGGTACGGCATTTTACAGTTTACAGAGGACTGTCCCACATTGAAACTAATTTGCATTTTGCAGACGGCAGACCTGAGGCCCAAGCAGCCTCTTGAACACTGCCGAAATTTCTCACAGTGCCCTGCCGGTCGAGTCTGACCGCTCCCCTTCCTGTCCAGTCTTCACCTCTCGTGCCGCCCAGCCCGAGCTGGGCCCCCTGAGGAGCTCTGAGCTGCTGGCCTTCCTTCCAGAGCTGAGCCGCTGGCCCAGGGCCTCCCATGGCCTGCAACGGCCCCACCTGTCTTCTGCCCTAGGAGGAGCAGTGGGAGCCTGCACCCAGCAGGATGAGGTCCCTGTCCGACAGCTACCTCGACCAGACCTCTTCAGGCTCCGTCTTCGGCTGTAAGTCCCCAGTGCTCTCGCTAGGCCTGAGTAAGCCAAAGCAGCAGAGTAGGCAAAGGTCAGGGGTCAGAGACTCCTTGGCCTGCGTGTGCATTTGGGCTCTGCTACTTATAATTCTGTGATTATAGAACAGGAGGAAGAATCCTCACTTTGAACGGGGCATGGTGAGCCCTCAGTGTCTCCCATTTATCCCACAGCCCTGGCCCACCTGCAGGGCTCGGGTTGCCAAGGAGGGCTGGGCTGGCGTCATCTGGCAGACCTTCCCCTTGGCCATGCAAGGCCTCTGGAATAGAGGCAAGGGTGAGGCCTACACCTCCTTTTCCTGGAGCTATCTGGGCAGGGCAGCCTAACGGATGCTCTTGGCTCATCCTTCCCAGTCAGGACCATGTCCATCTCAGAGACAGAGACGTCCACTATCTGCCAGGAATACAAGAGCACCTCAGCCACTGCTGTGACATCCTCTGACTCCTCACTGCTGAAGACTCTATCCTCAGACCTGCTGGAGAACAGAGAAGACCTAAGCTTGAGCCACAGCCCCAGAAAAACCAAGGCCACGCAGGGCCACAGCCAGAGCCCCAGCAGGACAAAAGCCGCCCAGGGCCAGAGCCGGAGGCCCAGCAAGGTGGAGGCTGCCCAGGGCCAGAGGCAGAGGCCCAGCAGGACTAAGGCCACCCAGGGCCAGAGCCGGAGGCCCAGCAAGATGGAGGACGCCCAGGGCCAGAGCCAGAGCCCCAGCAGGACTAAGGCCACCCAGGGCCAGAGCCGGAGGCCCAGCAAGATGGAGGCCACCCAAGGCCAGAGCCAGAGCCCCAGCAGGACCAAGGCCACCCAGGGCCAGAGCCAGAGCCCCAGCAGGACTAAGGCCACCCAGGGCCAGAGCCGGAGGCCCAGCAAGACGGAGGCCGCCCAGGGCCAGAGCCAGAGCCCCAGCAGGACCAAAGCCGCCCAGGGCCAGAGCCAGAGCCCCAGCAGGACCAAAGTCACCCAGGGCCAGAGCCAGAGGCCCAGCAAGAAGGAGGCCGCCCAGGACCAGAGCCGGAGGCCCAGCAGGACAAAGGCTGCCCAGGGCCAGAGCTGGAGCTCCAGCAGGATGGAAGCCGCCCATAGCCAGTGCCAGAGGCCTAGCAAGATGGAGGCTGCCCAGGGCCAGAGCCAGAGTTCCAGCCAGACTGAGGCCACCCAGGGCCAGAGCTGGAGGCCCAGCCAGACTGAGGCTACCCAAGTCCCAAGACAAAAGCCTAACAAGGTCAAGGCCACTCAGGGCCCAAGGAAGAGGCTTAGAAAGATCAAGGCTGCCCATGGCCGGAGTTGGGGACCCAGTAAGGCTGCCACCCATGGTCGGAGCGGGGGACTGATCCGAAGTTCTAGCAAGACCAAGGATTTCTATGATTCAAGTTGGAGCCCCAGCAACACTGAGGCCACTCAGGACCAATGCCAAAGGTCCAGCAAGACCACGGCTGCCCAGAGCTGGAGCCAGAATACAGCCCCGGTTCCGGCAAGACTGAGGTCACCTAGGGACTGAGCCCAAATCTCAGAAAACCCCAGACCACCCAGGGCCTGACCAGAACCCCAGAAAAATCAAGGCTGGCCCAGCAGTTACACTGCTCCCTGAAGGGGCCGTTCAGCCCCCTCGCTTCTTGCTGGGTATGGAAGAGATTCTAACCCCCACACACACTCACTGGCCCCCAGCAAAATAGCCTCCTTCCAGAGCAGTTAGATACCTCAGCCAACATTCTTCTGGTCCCAAGGCTAATAAGTTTATTGTATTTGTTCTCTTATAAAATTAAAGACTTTAAAAACCAGGCCCAAGTGGCAGCTTGAGTCCCTCCGTTCATGAAGACTGAGATGTCTCAGCCTGGCCTTACAGTACTGGGACACGGGGTGTGCAATGGAGGCTTCAGAGTATGGTGCCAGAGCAAGGGCCAAGAGTAACCACCCGAAGAGGGAGAGAGCAGCCATGAGCCACAGTCCCTGAGTTACAATTCACATTTTAAGAAGGCTTGGGCTGCAGGGCAAGGGCAAGGCTCACTGAAGTTCTGGGGTCACCAGTGGTTTCTCCAGGGAAGGAAGCAAAGGCCAAGAGACCCTCAGACCAGTGAAGAGGCCAGGGCCCTCTGTCCCATGGCCTAGCCAGCATGCCTCCTCATCTTCACTTTGGGCTCTGGGTCTCACTCTCCAGGAGTGCAGGGGCCCAGGGCTTTCCTGCACAGCCTGGCCAGGGAGGAGAGAGCAAGGACGCCATCTGGAGAGTCAGAGGACAAAGGCAATTCTGGAGGCCACAGTCTTGCAGCCGTTGGAGGAAAAGAGCTGTTCTTCCTCAGGGAAGAAGGTGGTGCTCTCCAGCACGGCCTGGAGGACCTCCTCCCTCGGCTCCAGGCCCAGCTGGGCCAGCTCGTTGAGCACGCAGTGCCGCACGTGGTGCCGCTGCAGTGGTAGGAAGGGTACCAGGACGTCTAGGAGATGCTCTTCCATGATGCCTGAGCGCCAGAAGCCATCTGCAGGAAGGGGCAATGCGGGAAGGGTCTGTGGTGGGCTCAGGGAGGTTGCATGACAGCCAGGAGCGCCAAAGCCTGGGCTGAGAAGTACCGGGTCAGTGGGCCACGCATCAGACCCTGGGAGAACCTGGCCCAGCCCAGTGGATGTGGGTGTGAAGCCTCGGCCTGCTGACGTTACCCCGGGGCGGGGAGGCCTCCCAAGCTGAACTCACGGTGCGGGTTGTCCAGCACAGCCTGGGAGATGACGGGCTCCAGCTCCTGCAGGCGGATCTCCTCCCGGTCCCGGCGGCCACGCCACGCCTCCAGGGCCACCTGGTTGATCTGCTCGCCACCAGTGTTGCTGAAACCGTGGGGAAAGTGGGCCATGGCTCAGACCGTGGGGGGCGGGATTTGGCCCTTGCTTCCCATGTGCCACCCAATACAACCTGAGCCTGGGCACCCAGCTCAGTACCAGCAGGAGCCAAGCCCACTGAAAACACACAATAGGAACTACTTCCCCTCTCCAGAGCCTGAGTCTCCAACCATGATGCCTGGAAATTCACTTCTATGTGCCATGCACTTTAAAGTTTACAAAACACTTTTAGGTCCCTTAACTGACTTTCCCTCCCCGAGCCTCTAGGAGGGCAGTGGGGCATTAATATCGGCCTTCCTGTGCAGAAGAGGAGATGGGAGTTCAGAGAGGTGAAGTGATTTGCCCAAGAAAACACAGCTAGAACTCTTAGAGGTGGGACTAGAATTCTCGTCCTATCTTCCAGGTCCGTGTCCTCCTGGCCCCAAAAGAGGGAAAAATCCTTCCACAAAGAAACAGTGAGGATCCCAAAGACTGAGCCCAGAATGGGCTTTGAGAATGTCAAAATTTGAATAACAGTGTCACAGCCAGTGTGAGGGGCTTTGGGAAAACCCAACTGGGCCCCAGGGGGAAAGGTACTCTGGTGTGGGACCACAGGCCAAGACTGGGTAGCTGACACCTTGGACAAATGTCCCCGCACCATGCTGCGGCAAAGACAGGCCCACCTGATGAAGATGAAGATGGCTTTGCGATAGTTGGTCCCAAACACAACCCAGGAGGAGCCCAGGAAAGGTAGCAGGACCTCTATCAGGCCTGGGGCCAGCTTGTCCATCTCGTCAAAGAGGAAGAGGGAGCGGCTGCAGGCTGTGAGGTTTCCCTGGACCCAGCTCTTAAGATCTTTCTGCGGGGGAGAGGCAGGAGTTTGAAGGCACCTGGAGATACTCCTCTCACATCAGACTTCTTCCGAAGGCAAGAACTAATCCTTTCATGGGGCTGGTGACAAAACTGTGGTCCCAAGGGGTCAGAGACTTGTTCAAGCTCACACACACAGCAAGTCAGCAAGCGCACAGAGACTCAAACCCAGGCCTCATATCTGCCTTGTTCAAGACTCCTCTGATAGCCCCTACTTTCCATAAAAGAGGAAGGTTCCCTTCTGCTCCCTGAACCTCCTCAATAATGTTGACAGCTGAAACAGACCAGCCTAGAAAGGACCTTGCAATCGACAACAACGATAGTAGTAAGAGCTACTATTTACTAAATGCTTATTCCAAGCCTCAAATTGGGACCATGCTTTACAAAAAGAAGATAACGCAGACTGGCAAAGGTAAGTGCTCAATACATAATACCTGCAACTATACAATCCCATGTCCCTTGTCCATCTCGAGCTCTGTTCATGATGGGTCCTGAGGGCTGAGGCTCCAACTGGCTGTGTGGCCTGGAGCGAGTAACACCCCCCCACCCCAGGACTCAGGACTCATTCATTCCCTAGGGTCTGGCACCCCAACATGCAGGTGAATGGTGGTCCAGGATGCCACCAGCCTACCTTGTAGCGCTCCATGTGGCTGGCATGGGGGAAGTGGATGATGGGGGAAAAGTGGTGAACGTGGGGGCTGCGGAGGCCACCCCGGAAGAGATAGTGCGCCAGAAGGGAGCTAACGTAGGACTTGCCAGTGCCTGTCCAGCCATGCAGGGAGAGGACCAGTGGCTTGGTGGGGGCTGGGTCCTGCACGAAGGCCTTCAGTGCCTTCACCACCAATGCCTTGGCCAAGTGCTGGCCGGCCAGGTGCTGGGCCAGGTCACACTCCAGACCTAGGGCCACAAGAAGGACAGTATCAGAGCTGAAGACACACACTTGCCACAGAAGGGGGAGGGGAAGAGTCATGTCTGGAACCTGGTCTAGGGATCCCTGTGTCTCGGGCAGTTTTACAAAACTGTGTTTGGAAAGGGAGTGGGGCCCCCGGGGACTCCGGCAGCGCAGCAGCCACCCTCAGACCTGACTTGGCTCGGCAGCGCCCCCACCAGCTGGCCCTCTGCATTGCGCTCAGCTCTAAGTGGCTGTGAGCTGTCAACAGGTTTGGCCCAAGACTTCCTGCCCATTCCTGCCCATTCCCAAGGCAGGCTTCTCCCCTGATGGCCAGGTCCACTGTGGAGACCCAATCCTCCCCCCAAGGCCCTGCTGTCAAATGCCTCTCTCCATCCTGGCAGGGCTCTGCCTGGACCCCCAAACATGCTTCCCCAAACCCTTGCCCCAAGTCCAGTGCTCAAGACTCTAAAGTCCCTCAACGCCGGGCGCACTTGCGGCCCGGGCCACCCGGAAGTCTGCGGGTCCCGCCCCTCGGTTCTACCCTCCAGGTGTGGCCCGGGGGCAACCCCAGAGTCCGAGGGCTCCCAGGTCCGCGGGCCCTTGCACTCCGGGCTCCTGCAGCTCCTCACCCTGAAAGTCGGGCTGGAAGTCACATTCGCAGAAGGTGCCGAAGTGGCAATGCAGCGAAGTCAGGTCCCAGGCGGCGGCCGCGGCCGAGACCAGCCCTAGCAACCCGAGGAGCGAGCCCCAGGGCCGGCAGCCGCGAGTCGCAGCCGCCATGCGGGTGAGACGGGAGCCGGGTCTGGGCCAGCCGCCCCTCCCTGGGACCACAATTCCCGGCGTGCCTCTCTGGGCGGCAGCCACCTTCCGTAGCCTACAACTCCCGGCTCCCCCCGGAAAGGCCCGAGCCGTCGTCCGGCAGCAGGACCGGAAGGTAGCCTCTAGGGGGAGCCCGCGAACCGTCCCAGTCCAGGACGGCGGGCCGCGTTTCCGTGGCCACAGTAACTAGGAGACCATAATAGAGCCGAAAGAATAATAAAGGATTATGACCACAAAGGGTGACGTAACAATTGTAGCAAACACTTGTGCGGCACCTTAAGCCTTGCAAAGCTCCTTTTCCAAGCTCTTTTTGTATATGACAAAAGAGCGCTCAGTAATAGGGCTTTTGGTGAGCACTTACTAGGTGCCATTAATGTTAGGTGCCTTATATGTCTTATGATAACAGTACCTGCCATACAGAGAAACGGTGGTGTTTCAATGAGATACAGGAACATAAAGTGTTTTGACTCGGAAAGTGATCAATAAATGATTATTGGTAATCCATTATGTATGAAACATGGCAGTCCCCTACCTAGCAGCTACTCTGCCCTAAGTGCTTTAACATCAATCCTAAGGAATCGATTTTGTTATTGTCCTTATTTTATTGAGGAGGAAATTGGGATCCAAGGGGTTAAGCCTCTGTCCAAGGCTCGTAAATAATAGAACTGAACCCAAGTCAAGCTGCTGCCAAAGATCTAATGCACTGTTATCCAGCCTCTCTTGGTCAAAGGATTCAGAAGGCAAAGGACCCAAGACATTTCATATTCAGTGAACAGGCTCCCCAGGCCTCCAGCCTGGACGGGAATCGTGTTTATCCACATTGCCTACTTCTCCTACCCATGGAATCAAGCGAACTCCTTTCATGGCCCCTCTTAGACATTCCCTGACCCACCCACCCTGCACACGCGCACACACACACACACGCACACACGCATGAAGCTTTCTGGGACCCTGGAAAGAAATAAGTAGTTCCCTCTGTTGAGAAAAGGAAAGAACTCCAGGTCAGGACACCCAGGTTCCAGCTTCCCTCATTCTGCTGCTGTGACCCCAGGAGAGTCCCTTCTCCCTCCAGTTCCATTTTCCGGGGGAGAGTTGGAATCCTAAATTTCAACAAGCCCTTCCACTCCAAACATCTGGAATGCTTGGTTGTGCATTTGTGGGAACCTTTGCTGGGCCTCCCCAAGCAGGAAACGGGATGGGAGTAGGGGCTGGCCAGGATTTCTCCCCCTGGTTGGTATTTGTTTCTTTCCCGCACTGGTCTGTGAGCTCCTCCAGGACTGGGACTGGGTTTTAGTATTGGCTGTAACAGTGGCTCCTGGTAGAATCTGGAATGTCCCAGGTGCTAAATAAGTATTTACCGTTGAATTTTTCTACCTTTCACCTGAAAGAAAAGACACTTCCTTCCACCAGGGCCCCCTGAGAGACAGAAGAAAGAGTCATAAAAGTTTATTATATGAAAGAAAGAACATGGCTTCTGTACATCTATTTACAGAACAGACAGACATATTTACAACCGGGTGGAGGCCTTGGTGTCCGTTGTGGGCAGATGCCCGGAGAAGAGTGAGGAAGCGTGAGGACCCTCCCATGGCTCGAACACAGGGCACCTCAGCAGGAAGGGGAGAAGCAGAAGCTGGAGGGAGGAACAGGGTTCCGGTTCTTCCTGAAGGGAGACTTGGTGGGCACGTAACAGGTGGGATGGAGCCCAGGGTCCATGCAGGACCTGGAGGTGCAAGGGGGATCCTGGTTTGGGCCCAGAACATTCTCGGGCTGATCACAGTGTCTCTGGGGTGCTCTGGGGAGAGGTCTGTGCCCCTCTGTCCCTGTTGCTGCCCGCAGCTGCAGAGGGGAGGGGTCCGCGGGGGTCACAGTTCGCTGGAGCGGACAGCAGGTTCCAATTTGTGGGACAGGGCAGTGAGGACCTTGTCAAACTTCTCATAGCGCCGGGCCTGGTTGCTGCTGGCACCCTGGCTGCCCCAGAGAAGGCGCATCTGGAACTCGGTGCTGAACACCTCCAGGAGCTCTGGCCGGGCCTGGAACCCTGCAAGTCAGGGCACAGGGGTCAGGGGATGACCATCCAGCTGGGAAGGCTGGGGGTCCTGCCCAAAGCAAATATATCCCTCAGGGCCCTGTTCCTAAGGGCCTCCCCCTCACCAGCTCCACTAGGATTCCAACAAGCTTTGTCAGTGAACCATGTTTGCAACATGCAATATTTAAATTACTGAAGATAAAATATGAATATCAATTTGGAGGGATTTTTCTTTTCTTTTTTGTATTTTTCTGTAAGTTCCAAACTTCTTCCTAAGAAACATACACATTTTGCAAGTAAGTGTTTTAAGTAAAAAAAAAAATTTTGTTGTTCTCTCTGAAAAAGAAAAAGGAGGAAAGACAAACACCAGGATGTTCTCATCATTTGCCTCTGGGTGATTGTGGGTGATTTTGTTTTTTCTTTTTGCTCAGCTGTAATTTCCAATTTGCCTACAGTGAACTTTCATGACTTAAATAATGCCTAAAGCAGTAAAAGCTGGATAGTTTGAAGCTACTTCCTCTCTGCTCTTTACACGAGGGACATCTCCCTTTCCCCTAGACTGGGAGCTCCTTGAAGGCAGGACAGGTGTGTCTCAGCCCCAGGCCAAGTGCTTTGCAAACAACATTGTAAAGTAATCCCGTTAGGAGGTCCACTTCACAGGTGAGAAAACAAAAGCTCAAAGAAAGCCTAGGGTGCTCTTTGTATCACCTCTGTGTCCCTCCACTGCTACCCGGTGCCTTCCACTCACAGTTGAACTGATAAGTGAGTGAAAAACAGGGATAAGGAAAGGGAGTCAGGGAGCAGGGCCGGTCAGAGGAACGGACAAACACGAATGGAGGTTTGGAGAAAATGGGAGAGCAAGTCCGGTGGAGGGAGGGCCGGCCAGCGTGACCAGTGACCGTCTCACCCCCCAGATGAGACCCGTGACTCACCCTGCAGCTTGACCTCCGCGTTGGTGTGATACAGGCCTCCGTGGTGGGCCACCGTGCGGGCAGCCTCCAGGTGGGCCAGCACCACCTCCACGCCATGCTCGGTGCTGCCCCAGGGCTCAGGGCCCTCTGCCGGGGCCGACTCACACTCCAGCAGAGTGATGAGTGGCAGCACATGCGGAAACGTGGTGTTGCTCAGCGGTGGGCCTTCTGCAGGGAGGGAAGCAGGCGCTTAGAGACCTCGGAGGCCCCACCATCCATGGCACTCCCGGCAGAAGGTGAGGCGCTCCCGGCAGACAGGTGAGGTGGGGGTGGGTCTGCCTGAGGTCCCTGACTGAGTCCCCAGGGCTCCCGACTCCCAAGACTAGCCCCCCTCCTTTTGGAATCCTCCAGCTGAACCCACTGCTGCCTCGGCGCAGCCCTGAGGGCTGAGCCTGGTCCTGACCGAGACTCACACGGTTGCCAAGTACAGAAAGTGAGCACAAGATTAGCCTGTGCAGACCTCAGTCAAGCTCTGGTCATTGTCCACACTGGGAGAGTCTTTGCCGGCCCAGAGTGGGGCTGGAGCCTGTCCAAGGTGACACAGCAAGGTGTGGGGGGTACCTTTGCCCTCGTTGAGGCTCTTGAGAAATGGCTTGAGCTTCTTCTCATAGAGGATGGCACCCTCCGTGTGTCGCTGCCGAAGGGTCACCCATGTCTGCTCCAGCCGGGCAATCTGGGGAGAGCAGGCTGTGAGCGCTCAGCCAGGGAAGGGGCCTGCACAGGCCACAAGCCACCCTGCTGAGTGGACAACCAGATGTGGGATAATAATTATTATATTGTGGTCACCTTTCATGTACTAGGGACAGTGCTGGCTGCTCTTCGCATTCTCCTGGGAGGCCTTGCAACAGCTCATTTTACAGATGAGGGAACTAAGGCTCAGCTAGGGCAATGACTTGCCCAAAGTCATTCCAAAATTAGGTAGCAGAGCTGGGAGTTGAGCCATGGCCTCTGGGACCCTGTTGTTACTATTGACTAGGCATAGGAGAGCAAGTGTAGAGTGTGGAGGAGGTTCAGGCTTGGCAACAGACTTTTTCAGTCTCTGACTGTGTGACCTTAGGCAAGTACTGCTGTGCCTCAATTTCTCATAAGTAAAATGGGACAATAAAGGCACTTCACAAGATTGTTCTGAGGAATCAATGCTTATAAAGTACTTAGTGTACTACCTAGCATATATTAAGTGCTCGCTAAATTATAGCCATTTTGTATTTATTTTTGAAACTCATATAATGCTCCTCACTCATTTTGCAGGTGGGTAAACGGAGTCCCAGAGAAGGGGCAAGACTTGGTCTTGGAGCAGGTCACCACTTAAGAGACCTCAGTTCTCAACAGTTACACTTTCACCAATGCTGCCTAAAAGTCACCAAGTTCTTCCCTATTCGAACGTATCCCAGGGCTCCCTCCAGACGGCGACTTCCTGAAGCCCAGCTCGAGACGCGCCCCTCCGTACCTGGGCCATATCCAGGGCGCCCATGACCGCAGCGAAGCTGAACATGTTGCCCATCGTCCCCCGAAGTTCAGCCGCCAGCTGGATGGTCTTGTGCAGAAGCGCTGCCCGCTCCTCCGCAGAGCCCGTGCAGCCCAGGATGTCCACGGCCAGCATGATAGACATGGTGTGGAACCTGTCACAGCGGCCAGGTCAGAGGGGAGGGGTCCTGTCACCGCTCGTGGTCGGGCGCCGAGGGGCGGAGGGCCGAGCCCAAAGTGACAGGTTGGAAAGGGTCAATGAGATTAGGGGGCGCGGCCAGAGTGAGGGGGAAAGCAAGGCTAAGGGCTTCTGATTGGTCAGTGTAAATCAGGGGAGGGGCCAGAGGCTTCTGAGCGCCGGGCTGAGGGAGGGACTTGTGATCGATCAGTGGAATTCACGCGGCGGAACAGTTTTAAGAAAGAAGAGTAGCCAGAGCTGATGGGCAGGGCTAAGGCTCGCGGAGTGTGATTGGTCAAAAGGGTGCAAACGATGAATCCGG